TCTGATCAGGAGGTTTTGAGGAGCGTGGAAACACCTCTTAATTGCTGGTGTTCCCAGGTTCACCCTGACCCGGGGTGTTACCACCTGTTAGGGTTCTAGCTATGGGCAAATAGTTGACTCCCGCAAACTGGGGTCAAAACACTATGAAAGTGTAAAAATAGGTTTTGATACCAGAAATACTTTGTAAAAATTTATTACCAGGAATAAATTTTTGAAGAAAAATTATTACCAGAAATACAATATTACCAACAATTCATTTTTTAAAAAATATTACGAGCAATACATGATTGGAAAAATATATTACCAGTAATACATTTCTGAAAAAAAATTAACAATACATTTTTGAAAAAAAAAAATAAATAAAAGCAATACGTATTTGAAAAAAAAAATACCAGCAATAGATTTTTGAAAAAAAAATATTATCAGCTACAAAATCTTGTCGGCATTAAATAACCCATTGAGGTTGATATGCCGTAAAACAAACCAAACCAAATCAATATATACTGAAATAGATAGATAGATAGATAGATAGATAGATAGATAGATAAAAAAGATTACCAGCTACAAAATCTTGTCGGCATTAAATAACCCATTGAGGTTGATACGCCCTAAAACAAAACGAACCAAACCATCATTGTGTCGTGGCAGAAGAATTTTATCGTCAGAATCCATCTCCCATATTTACAAATTTACCATTTCTCCGTGCATTGAATACTGCTGCCATATCTGGTCTGGTGCGCCTGCTGTACATCTTGAGATTCTTAACAAGTTCTAAAGAACGATCTGTAATCCTGACTAGGCATCGCGACATCATCCACTTTCTCACAGACTTGACGTGGCTTCCCTCTGTCTTTTCTACAAATACTTTCATGTTAATTGTTATAACAAGCTTCTTTTTTTTTCCCGGGTTCCCGACTACATGAATTTAAAGGTGCTGCTAGATTAGGATCTAGGTTCCTCCCTTTTACTGTTGAAATATCTAAATGCAACTGCTATTTCTGCTCCGATAGTATCTCTTCACGCACTTCCCACCTGTGGAACACACTTCGGTTTATTTAAACCTCAATCGCCATCTTCTGTCTTCTTGAATCACGTTCATCAAACCTTTCCTCAATCCTCCCTATTTTCAGTTTTCCCTGTCTTTTTCACTCCCTGTAATCTTCTGCGTTTTCGTGGAATTCCCGCCTTTCTTGCGATGAATGATTAAAAAGAAATCTATTTTCTCTCTTTTCGTTCTCACTCTCATTATTTTTATAAATGTTTCTTTTCTTTTTTTTCTTAATATTACTACAATATGATCCATCGCTACAGATGATGATGAAATTGTCAGTTCCCTCGGCCGCTCCAGCAAGTACCTAACTCCTCCTATTATCAGCTTCTTTCTTTTATATGTCGTCTCCCTTCAAGACGTAGGAGATAATGGCTCTCCACTTTTCTTTATTCCTTGTAGCTGTCAATATGTTTCATCCCTCTGCCACCTCCCCCTAACCACGTTCCGTCATCCACTTACCTAAGCCCGCCAAGAATGTTATCTGTTGCTTTCCCTTGTCTCTTTTTCCCTCTATTCGACAAGTGAGTATCAGATTCTCCAAGCCCTCCTTTCTCATTATGTGTCTCAGAAACTTCAACTGCCTCTTCCTGATGTTATGTATAAGCTTCCTCTTTGCATCCTCTCCAAAACCTCATCGTTGCTCACTCGCTCGTTCCAGGATATCGTTAGCAGTCTTCTCTCTTTCTTTTTATTCGACCTGTGAGTATCAGATTCTCCAAGCCCTCCTTTCTCATTACGTGTCTCAGAAATTTCAGCTGCCTCTTTCTGATGTAAACTATAAGGTTCTTCCTTATTTGCATCCTCTCCAAAACCTCATCGTTGCTCACTCACTCGTTCCATGATATCCTTAGCAGCCTTCTCTCTTTCCCTCTATTCGGCTTGTGAGTATCAGATTCTTCAAGCCCTCTTTTCTCATTACGGATGACGCAAAATTTTTCAAGGCCAAACAAATTTCATCATACATCCCGAAAATAGATTCATATTGCTGCACACCGCTGCAAATGACCTAATCTGAGAGAAAAACAGAAATCGATTACACCCTGTCACTCATGTGAGTCTAAAAACGCATAGTAAAAAAAAGGAAACTAAAGCAGTTGTTTCAATTAATTTGCACACGGGGGTAAATCTGACCAATGATGACACGAACGAATTGAGATATTTAACTGAATCATAATAAAATTATTTTCCGTCCCCTTCTCGACAATCTCACTTTCACTTTCACTTTCATTTTCAACACTTACACAGTCAATAAGGCTGAATGCTTTGAATATCTGCTGTGACTCATATTGACGCCAGACTTCAGATACAAGATCTAAGCCTCATCCAGGATGAGTTGCAGAAACAAGACAGTTTTTCACCATTTTCAATATTTTCAATGCACTTGATCCAACGATGCTCATGAGGGTTATTCAAAAGGTTCTGAGCTTCACCTAGTTGTAGTTGAGAAAA